CCGCTGCTGCAGCACACACACTGAAGCGATTTGATTCGAGGCGGATACCGGTCCTTGAATGCTGAAAGTTCGGTCGTCACTCCCCGGAGCGATGTACTTATGATACTGCTGCTTGTGGCGACGGTTGCTCTACGTCGGCGCAGAACTCGGCGTGTCTGTCGGGACAGCGCGCTGCGTGCCTAACATGCCTAACATGAAACATGCCTCCTGTCATATTCCAGAAAATGAGGGTTTTTTATCCCTGGGTCGCGTTTTTTAAACGAGACCCCCGGGTCGCGTTTACCGGCTCCCGGTGTCGTCACGGTACGACGGGTACATACCGTTGCAATAATCAGCGTCACCCCGGCAGTCACCACGTAGCATTTTTTTGTTGTTGTTGGGCACATGACCAGACTTGGGTTTTCACTGGAAAAAGCGTAGTTGCGTCGGAACACGCAGGAGACAGAAACTGACCGTCAACCCCTAAGCGCAGGGGGGCGGCGGGCGAGAGGTTGGGTCTCGAGTGTCGGGCACGACCAACCTACAACGCGTGCACCAAACTCCCGTTCCCACCTGTTTCTCCGCACACACCTCGGGGACTCGGGGAGCGCGAGCGCTCCGCGTCTTCAACCTCCTCCTGCTGGTGCTTTAGTTCCCGCGGAAAATTGTAATTGTTGTCCCCATCGCATCGGCAACCTGGCGTTGGAGGGGGCTGGAAACTCTGCCGGAAAATGGATCTGGCGCATACTTCCCGCTATTGGAAATCGTACCGGGAGAGCAAGGTATGCGCACGACACCCAGCCGGTGCCTCACGATGGCGATGATGTAGATGCATCCGTTTTTTGGTTTCGGTAGGCGCAGCCCTTAGCAGTATACAGCCAACACACGGGTTTATGTAGAGCGCCGATATTTTGTCCAGAATCAGAAAGGAACGACGACAGCTGTGTGTTGTCCTCTGACTGGGCGAGAGCAAAACAATAGAACAAGTGCGTCGACATTTTCCGAGCGTTGTTCATTTTCTACCGCTACTATCACAGCAGAGAGCACGGTTGCTTTTTCCATACCATCAACGTGTGTGGAATATACGGAGTACAGTATAAGGACAACGCGGCGAGCAAACAACCCTAAGTTGTAGGAGCCGCAGCAGTGGCATGGACCCGGCTTTGGGGTGCACGATGCGAATGACTTTGGTGAATGTATCTACGATTCGCATGTTTTGTACAGAGGTAATCAAGCGATGTTTGGGGACACATAAGCATACATATTTTGCCGAGAATCGCATGTCGTGCGAGATGTAGAAGGACATGGATCTACACGCCCAAACCGGCCACACTTTCCATCCAAGTTAATTAATTCACTGGGGTGTTGAAGCAAAACTTCCGTTTTCCAATCTCCCAGTTGCAGGCGTCGGGGCGGAGGTTGTGTTCGTTTTCCACGACACCCGTTTTCTCTGTTTCGTAGGTCAACACTCGTTGTCGACGTTGTTTTCGTCTTGCTCAAGGTACAACTACAGTTAGTTGTAGTTTGTCTTAGACCACTGCTGTAATTGCCATCATCTTTATTTTCCGAATAAACACGAACGGTACCTGTGTGTGTCGTGATGTTGGTATCTACAGCAGTATCCATGCTTAAGGAGAAATAAATACACGCACAGAAAGACTACCCATTCGAGATATACCCACAGACAGTCGAACGGGATGTGGTGGAGTCTTTTCAGTAAGTGGAGGAAAACCGGCTGGGTACTGGACTTGTTTCGAGTCTTTATAAGTCTATACACTGATGATTTATCAGTGATGCCAGCTGGTGCTAAGCACAAAAACATCTGTATAGGTAAATCTACATTTTACAATACATCCCCTGTAGTTCTCTACTGGGTCAACGACAAAATATCGGGGAGAATCCCTCCGTAGTTGTTGTTGTTGTTTCTCACATTAGCTCTAAAAAAAAAAAGATTGGGAGCCCGTGGTCTCAAACCCGGCATACACGACCCCACGAAGAAACAGAAAAAAATAGGGTACAAAAACCACTCGGAAGAGAAACAAAATGATAGAAAGAAAGACCAGC